TTTCTTATACGGTCAACAATGAAGGACCATGTCTCAGATATCGATTTTGGTAGAGATTTTGTTGAAAAACAAGAAAAATAACGAATTGTCCTATTTTTTATTATTATTGTCCATTGATTGTTTAATTTTTAATAAAATAAGGCTGACAAAACTAATATAGTCCACCTGATGATTAGTGGATGCTGGGGCCTACAAATAACCACATACTATTCTGGATTACAAATCAAAATCTCGATGCGTTGTAAATTATGGACTAAGATGGAATTATACGTTGATATTTCGTGACAGCTTCAGGTCAGGACAGGTGCAGGTCGAGCAAAACTCCTAGTACTAAACCATATCGTTTATTTTGAATTCATAATATGTTGACGACGATTAATTAATAATAAAAATGTTTCTTACATGCACATCGGCTATAACGGCTTGAGTTTTTGACTAAAACAAATCGTTAGAAAATCAAAAAGTTTTTTCACTATAAAAATTGGGAATATACATTTACCGTTGTAGATGTTTTGTAATACCATTTTTTTTTATTTTGCGTACGCATATTGTGAGGAGCATTATTTTTCGATCGACGGCGTTGTTGAATATGCATTCAAGCATAAATATTCATTAGTACAGACGATGTATTTCAAACGATAGGTATCATGTATTGGACATAATTTAAAAAATACACTGAAAGCAATAATGTAACCGATTTTTTTTAAATTATTTCTTAATGCTTAGTAAATAGTTACGTAACAGTTTTGAGAAATGTGCAACATTATCACCAATCAAAGAATAAAAGTTTCACGTAAAAAAGGTAGAGATTGAAATTAATAGAATAATTATCTTATACTAAATGATTTCGTTCTGAGTTAATATGTTTAAAAAAAAGGTGAAAATAGAATAATTTTCTTCTATAGCATCTATTAATCGTTTTAATAAATAATATATTATAATAATAATATATATTCAATTTATTTAATATACTTAACATACATACACGTTGGCCTGTGGTAGGTTAGGGATTAAGCACTCGCTGTAAATTTTACAACAAACGAGCCAACTTTGCAAATTTTACAACAAGCGAGTCAAATTAGATAAATTAAAATGGTTTTAATAAATTATATATTTAGGTAATACATACATACATACGTCGTTGCTCATGGGGGTATATTTGCCATATGCCACGCTTGGCGAGCGGGTTGGCAACCGCAGTTTTTTATTGTCATGGTTGTTATTAGGAAGATGCTGCTGCCCATCTCCTTTCTGTGTCCCTCTGTCGCCTCTTACGACACCCACGGGAAGATATGGGGTAGTGGATATTCTCAACCGCCACTACATGCCACGTGGACCTGGTCGAGCCCCGACGGTTCGACAAAAAATGAGATTGACTTCATTATGACGACCAGACGCCAACTGTTCAGTGATGTCTCAGTGATCTCGAGGGTGAAAACCGGCAGCGATCACCGAATGGTTAGAGGCACACTGAACCTAAACGTTAAGTTGGAGAGGTCTCGTCTAATGAAGTCAACGCTCCGTCCCCCCTCGTGCTCTAATCCAGGACCCCGAATCTTTTCAGCTCGAGTTACGTAACCGCTTTCAGTACCTAGAAGATTGCAATGCAGTGGACGATATGAATGACAAGCTCGTGAAAACTGTCCGTGGGGTCGGAGCTAAGTTCTGCAAGACCCGCCGTAGAAGAACACAAAAACTCTCCGATCACACTCTTAATCTCATGGCTGTTAGACGGGAGATGAGGCTGCAATCGTCAACAGATTTGGCAGCATGCAGGCAACTGAACAGACAGATCTCCAAATGCATGCGGCGAGACTTACGCAACTTTAATACTGCTCGTATTAAAGAAGCTATCGAGCGGAACCAGGGCTCCAAAGTCTTTGCCAGAGATCTGTCTGCCAGAAAGAGCCAACTGTAAAAGCTGAAGACTGAGTGTGGCAGCATCGTTTCCGAGACACCTGAGATTTTGAGTGAGATTGAGAGGTTCTATGGGCAGCTGTACACATCATCGTTGGAGCCACACGCAAGTGTGAGTAACGATCCAAGAGCAAGTCTTACCCGACACTATTCAGATGATATCCCGGACGTCAGTCTGAGTGAGATTAGAATGGCTCTCCAGCACCTTAAAAACGGCAGGGCCCCAGGCGAGGATGGAATTACAGCGGGGCTTCTGAAAGCGGGTGGAACACCGGTATTTGAAGTTCTTCAGAAGCTTTTCAATTCCGTCCTCCATGGTGGCACTACTCCGGAGGCGTGGAGCAGAAGTGCGGTGGTCTTGTTCTTTAAGAAAGGCGACACCGCTCTCTTGAAGAACTACAGACCGATTTCCCTTCTGAGCCGCGTCTACGTGCTGTTTTCGAGAGTCATTACGAATCGTCTCGCACGCAGACTCGACGACTTCCAGCCTCCCGAACAAGCCGGTTTCCGAAAAGGCTTCAGTACCATAGACCACATACATACCCTGCGGCAGATTGTACAGAAGACCGAGGAGTACAATTTGCCACTTTGCCTGGCGTATGTGGACTGTGATAAAGCCTTTGATTCCGTCGTCCGTCGTGGCTATCCGAGTACAGAACCAGAGTTCGAAGCGTATCCAACTGCAGAGAGGTGTAAGACAGGGTGACGTTATATCCCCGAAACTCTTCACCGCTGCGTTGGAAGACGTTTTCAAGCTACTGGACTGGAAAGGATACGGTATTAACATCAATGGCGAGTACATCACTCACCTTCGATTTGCCGACGATATAGTCCTTATGGCAGAATCGCTGGAGGACCTTAGCACTATGCTCAATGACCTCAATGGTGTCTCCCAACGGATAGGTCTTAAGATGAACATGGACAAAACAAAGATCATGTTCAATGTCCATGTCACACCTATGCCGGTAGTTGTTGGGAGCACTATGCCCGAAGTTGTTGACGAGTACGTTTACCTGGGACAAATAGTCCGACTAGGTAAGTCCAACCTCGACCAAGAGGTCAATCGACGGATTCAACTCGGCTGGGCAGCGTTCGGGAAATTACGACACATCTTCACATCAGGTATACCTCAATCTCTGAAAACTAAAGTGTACAACCAGTGCGTGTTGCCAGTGATGACTTACGGATCAGAGACGTGGTCCTTCAACGCTGGCCGTATGAGGACGCTCAAGGTTGCTCAGCGAGCTATGGAGACGGCTATGCTCGGAGTTTCTCTGCGTGATAGACTCAGAAATGAGGATATCCGCAGTAGAACCAGAGTGACCGACATAGCCGAACGGATTAGTAAGCTGAAGTGGCAATGGGCCGGCCATATAGCTCGAAGAACCGATAACCGATGGGGAAGAAAGGTTCTCGAGTGGCAGCCTCGTACCGGTAGCCGTAGTGTAGGGCGACCCCCCACTAGATGGAGTGACGACCTGGTAAGACATGCAGGAAGTCGATGGATGCAGGTGGCTCAGGACCGTGCTTTGTGGCGTTGCTTGTGGGCGGCCTATGTTCAGCAGTGGACTTGTGAAGGGCTGTAATGATGAATGATGATTGATACATACATACACGTTGGCCTGTGGTAGGTTAGGGATTAAGCACTCGCTGTAAATTTTACAACAAGCGAGCCAACTTTCGGCGTTATTACGTATCTTGTAGAAGGTTAGCGATAGTAAAAATAAAAACTTATAAATCCTGCATGTTAACCCTCCTATCGAAGATCTCTATCACACACACACACACACACACACACACACACACACATGCACACGCACACGCACACGCGCACGCACACGCACACGCACACGCACACGCACACGCACACGCACACGCACACGCACACGCACACGCACACGCACACGCGCATACGCGCACACGCGCACATGTACACACGTGCACACGCGCACACGCGCACACGCGCACACGCGCACACGCGCACATGCACACACGCACACACGAACACACGCACACACGCACACACGCACACGCGCACACACGCACACGCACGCACACGCGCACACACATACACGCGTGCACGCACACACACACACACGCGCGCGCGCACACACACACATACACACACACTCTCTCTCTCTCTCTCTCACACACACACACACACACACACTCACACACACACTCACACACACACACACACACACACACACACACACACACATATTTTAAATTTTATTCAAATGGGCACAACAATTTAAATTGTCGTCGTATTTCATTGTCGTCGCTTCTGTCAGACAGTTAACTGTGTGTTTGTGCTCTGTGATCTTAATTTACGAGTTCATAATTTAAGTGTTTCTGTTTTTTGGAAGTATTTTGCATTTTTCATACAATATAGACATATAACGTGTTTCCTTAAGTTTTGTTGTGACTTATTCAAGGCAAGTTAAAGCAATATTAGCACAATATTACAACGTATATCAACAATATTAAGAAAAGAACGAGGGTAAAAAGTCATCGACCCGGTACGTGGCATCTTCACGGTTACGCGCTATACTTAACCGTGAAAGTCGTGTGCACCATTTTCATAGTATTATCGCTGATAAACGCGCTATTAACACCACAAAATTGTACTTTTTTCGGTATTAGTAAATGTACCTCTACTGAATATGAAATAATTTTTTGCTCAGTGTGTATAAGTGCTCCAATACTCACTGCTGATTTGGAAATGTCCCGAATGCAGTGCCGCGCAAAAAAAAGGTGGGGATAACAGTTTTACTCCAGTTCGAGGTGGTTCTGAAAATGTTACCACATGTAAAAAGCAGGACTCTGTGGGGTCTGAAATGACCCAACTCACTGAACAGCTGCGCCTCCTTAACAGTGAATTGTGCTCCGTTAAAACGAAATTAAATGACCTGACCCAATCAATTTCTTATACAAACGAGCGAATGGACGATATTATGGGTATTCTCGCAACCACTAATGAGAAAATAAAATACTTAGAAAAACGTGATGAAGACGTCAAAAATTTGCAGGTTACAGTGTCACAACTGCAAAATGAACCAAAAATATAAGCTCAACAGAATATGAGAAATGAAGTAGAAATTGTAGGAATTCCTGAAAACTTGGGTGAAAATCTGAATTATACAATACTCGTAGCAGCAACGAAACTGGGAGTTGACCTAGAAGATAAAGACTTAGATTGGGTAACTCGTGTGGGCAAACCGTTGCTCTACCAGAAGATAGCGGCAATATGCCGCGGCCAGTGGTCGTTAAATTTCTGCGTCGATCTAAATGGGATCAAATCCTTAAAGCTGCAAAGTTAAGAAGAAACATAAACAGTTCTGACCTGGAGGTAGCTGGTCTAACCCGGAAAGTTTATTTTAATGAAAGGCTCACCAAAGAAAACAGAGTGTTATTTTGAGCACTAGACAAAGGTCCAAGCAACACGGATACACATTCAGTTGGTGTAATCAAGGCTTTATTTACGTCAGGCAACGTGAAGGTAAATCTGCTCAGCTTATTCAATCGCACAAGGATCTTGACCGTCTGCTTCCACCCACTTCCACAGTTTAGAGTATTATATACTCTAAACTGTGGAAGTGGGTAGAAGCAGTGATAAACGTAATGATCTACATAATTATGAAAGACCAAGGATTGATGAAGTTTACTTAATGCAAACTATCTTACATGACTTTGTTATTGCAAAAAATGTATGTATTTATATGTATAACTGTAAACCCTTTTGTTATTTTGATATTATTTTAAATTTCACTTTTTACAAGTCCTTATTTTTGTTTCCTAAAGTAAGGAAACCAAGTTTTTTAAGTGTAAAAATGTTTTGGCTCATATTAGCCAACTCATACCGGTTTTCGGATAAAATTCAACTACGAAAATGATTGTGACTGAAAACCTGGGCCTTGAATTAGACTCAATGCAGGTTAAGTGTGAAATTATAAAAGATATATGTGATTGTAAAGATGTCATCACTCCGGAATTTACGTTTAAGTTATTTTGTCTCAATATCAGAAGCCTAGGAAAGAACTTTGATACTTTAATTTTAGCCTTACAACGTTTAGAAATTTCCATGGATATCATAATTCTGACCGAATGTTGGCTCTACGATGTTATAATAATTCCGCATATACCTGGATATAATGCTTTTAAAACGCATAGGCACTTAAATCAAAATAGCGGGGTTGTCGTATACCTGAGTGATATATGGCATGCCACAGTTTCGGAACTATGCCTCGATGAAGCCGATTGCCTATTTGTTCAAATACCCGAAAAGTTAAATATTCTTGGAATATATCGTTCACCATCTTTTAAGAATCTGGAAAAATTTCTAGCATCCCTTGAAATGCACATTAATAAAATAAATAATCTTCCCTACATCGTTGCTACATCTTAGCCGTGTAGTGGCGGTTGAGAATATCCACTACCCCATATCTTCCCGTGGGTGTCGTAAGAGGCGACAGAGGGACACAGAAAGGAGATGGGCAGCAGCATCTTCCTAATAACAACAATAACATAATAAAAAACTGCGGTTGCCAACCCGCTCGCCAAGCGTGGCAACTATGGCAAATATCCCCCCATGAGCAACGATGCAAATAAACGGCCCCCAGTCCCCGGCGGCCCCGCTATTCCTGGCTACGGTGGCGACCATGGTAACGGCGGGGCAGGGGGTGCTAAGAATCTCCGGTGGAGGTTCGGTTGCCACCTACGACGACTCGACCTGGAAAGGTATAACGCACGCACCCTGAGGACTGACGAGAAGATACTTGAGCTGGAAGAAGAGGTAGACAAGTTGCGCTGGCATATTATTGGGTTATCTGAGGTCCGAAGAGAGGGGGAGGACACGGTAATCCTCGATTCCGGCAACTTGTTCTATCACCTGGAGGGCGACCATCTGTCCCAAGGAGGTGTCGGATTTATCGTCCACAAGTCCCTCGTCAACAACGTTGTAAAGATTGGTAGTGTGTCGATGAGGGTCGCGTACCTGATACTCAGAATCACTAAACGGTATTCGCTGAAGGTCATACAGGTCTACGCACCAACCTCGGCACATCCCGATGAGGAGGTGGAGGAAATGTATGAGGATATTTCTAGAGCCATGCATTCCTCCAAAACCCAATACACGGTGGTGATGGGAGACTTCAACGCAAAACTAGGCACAAGAGAAGGCGGTGAGCTGAAGTTGGGGAAATTTGGAGTAGGGCAACGGAACCGTAGGGGCCAGCAGCTGGCTGACTTTATGGAGAAAGAGAGACTCTTTATGATGAACTCTTTCTTCCAGAAGCAGCCGCACAGGAAGTGGACCTGGTCGAGCCCCGACTTTTCGACATAAAATGAGATTGACTTCATTATGACGACCAGATGCCAACTGTTCAGCGATGTCTCTGAAAACCGGCAGCGATCACCGAATGGTTAGAGGCACACTGAACCTAAATGTTAAGTTGGAGAGGTCTCGTCTAATGAAGTCAACGCTCCGTCCCCCCTCGTGCTCTAATCCAGAATCCCGAGACTTTTCAGCTCGAGTTACGTAACCGCTTTCAGTGCCTAGAAGATTGCAATGCAGTGGACGATATGAAAGACAAGCTCGTGGAAACTGTCCATGCGGTCTAAGCTAAGTTCTGCAAGACCCGCCGCAGAAGAACACAAAAACTCTCCGATCACAATCTTAATCTCATGGCTGTTAGACGGGAGATGAGGCTGCATTCGTCAACAGATTTGACAGCATACAGGCAACTGAACAGACAGATCTCCAAATGCATGCGGCAAGACTTACGCAACTTTAATACTGCTCGTATTAAAGAAGCGATCGAGCGGAACCAGGGCTCCAAAGTCTTTGCCAGAGATCTGTTTGCCAGAAAGAGCCAACTGTCAAAGCTGAAGACTGAGTGTGGCAGCATCGTTTCCGGGACACCTGAGATTTTGAGTGAGATTGAGAGGTTCTATGGGCAGCTGTACACATCATCGTTGGAGCCACACGCAAGTGTGAGTAATCATACAAGAGCAAGTCTTACCCGACACTGTTCAGATGATATCCCGGACGTCAGCCTGAGCGAGATTAGAATGGCTCTCCAGCACCTTAAAAACGGCAGGGCCCCAGGCGAGGATGGAATTACAGCGGAGCATCTGAAAGCGGGTGGAACACCGGTACTTGAAGTCCTTCAGAAGCTCTTCAATTCCGTCCTCCATGGTGGCACTACTCCGGAGGCGTGGAGCAGAAGTGCGGTGGTCTTGTTCTTTAAGAAAGGCGACAACGCTCTCTTGAAGAACTACAGACCGATTTCCCTTCTGAGCCGCGTCTACGTGCTGTTTTCGAGAATTATTACGAATCGTCTCGCACGCAGACTCGACGACTTCCAGCCTCCCGAACAAGCCGGTTTCCGAAAAGGCTTCAGTACCATAGACCACATACATACCCTTCGTCAGATTGTACAGAAGACCGAAGAGTACAATCTACCACTTTGCCTGGCGTATGTGGACTATGAGAAAGCCTTTGATTCCGTCGAAATTTGGGCGGCCCTACAGTCCCTTCAGCGGTGTCAAGTTGACTGTCGGTATATCGAGGTGCTGAAGTGTTTGTACAGTAGGGCTACGATGGCTATCCGAGTACAGAACCAGAGTTCGAAACCTATCCAACTGCAGAGAGATGTAAGACAGGGTGACGTTATATCCCCGAAACTCTTCACCGCTGCGTTGGAAGACGTTTTCAAGCTACTAGACTGGAAAGGATACGGTATTAACATCAATGGCGAGTACAACACTCACCTTCGATTTGCCGACGATATAGTCCTTATGGCAGAATCGCTGGAGGACCTCAGCATTATGCTCAATGACCTCAATGGTGTCTCCCAACGGATAGGTCTTAAGATGAATATGGACAAAACAAAGATCATGTTTAATGTCCATGTCACACCTATGCCGGTAGTTGTTGGGAGCACTATGCCCGAAGTTGTTGACGAGTACGTTTACCTGGGACAAATAGTCCGACTAGGTAAGTTCAACCTCGACCAAGAGGTCAATCGACGGATTCAACTCGGCTGGGCAGCGTTCGGGAAATTACGACACATCTTCTCGTCAGGTATACCTCAATCTCTGAAAACTAAAGTGTACAACCAGTGCGTGTTGCCAGTGATGACTTACGGATCAGAGACGTGGTCCTTCACTGCTGGCCGTATGAGGACGCTCAAGGTCGCTCAGCGAGCTATGGGAGGGCTATGCTCGGAGTTTCTCTGCGTGATAGACTCAGAAATGAGGATATCCGCAGTAAAACCAGAGTGACCGACATTGCCCAACGGATTATTAAGCTAAAGTGGCAATGGGCCGGCCATATAGCTAGAACAACGGATAACCGATGGGGAAGAAAGTTTCTCGAGTGGCAGCCTCGTACCGGTAGGCGTAGTGTAGGGCGACTCCCCACTAGATGGAGTGACGACCTGGTAAAACATGCAGGAAGTCGATGGATGCAGGTGGCTCAGGACCGTGCTTTGTGGCATTACTTGGGGGAGGCCTATGTTCAGCAGTGGACTTGTGAAGGGCTGTAATGATGATGATGATGATGACATCGTTGCTGGCGACATAAATATTTATAAAAATAGAAAATATATGTACTCCACAAACCTTAGAGTATCAGTGCTTTATGGCCGAACACGGATTCACTCCAGCCATAGTATATCCAACTAGCAAGGCTGCTTGCCTTGATCACATATACGACAGAAACTTGGATAGTTGCCAAGCACTACATGGTATTGTATGCCAATGTGACATTACAGACCACATTCCAGTTATGCTTGGTTTGAACTCCAAAAAATTTAAGCCTCCTAGACCTACTCGTTTCACATCTAAAAGGGATTTTAATGCCATAAAAGATAGCCTTAAAAACATCGACTGGTCTATTCTAATCAATATATCTGATGTAAATATAGCTAATGAAATATTCACAAAACACATTACAGATGTCCTAAACAAACATACCAAAGAATTTAAAATTAGTAGAGCCAAGTATAACATAAAACCTTGGATAACTCCAGGTTTAATTCGTTGTATGCGCGTCCGTGATCGTCTGCATCTTCAATCTCGGAGTGATTTGGAAAATAAAACCTTTAAAAATATATATACCCGTTATCAAAATTTCTTTATAGATTTATTACGCAAGGTTAAAACTGAATATGAAAATAAAATTCTTATTGAAAACAAAAATAACCCGAAAAACATGTGGCAGTCAATCAAAAATATCTGTCACCTTCAACATAATAAAAATGAACCCAAAGAATTCTTAAGACTAGATGGTCTAAATGTGCAAGAATCAATGGACTTC